AGCGGACGTGGCGGGCGCATGGTGGGCCCCGAGCCCGCGGCGGGCGGTGGCGGCGCCGGGGACTGAGCGGCTCAGCGCGGGCAGGGCACTAAGAGGCGCCGCTCGGCTGGGGGCGGGCCCCGGGGGGCTCGTCTGACGGGCGGCGGGTGCAGCCAATGGGCAGGCGGGGGCGGGGCCACCGCGCAGGTGTGGGCGGGGCCGGGGACCCGCGAGCGCCGGAGCTCCGCGCGCCCCGAGCGGACCCCGCAGCGCGGGCCCAGCACCCGGGAGCCTCGGCCCCACGGCGCCCGCGCTTCCCCTCGGCCCGCCCGCCCGGAGCCGCGCCCCGCGAGCCGCCGCCAGCCTCCCCTTTCCCACCCATGCGCCTCGCGGGGCCCGTGCGCGCGGCCCGATCGCCGACGGAAGCGCCGCTGCCTTCCCGGCGCGCCCGGGGCGAGCACGTGGCCGGGGCTGACCGCGGTCGGCGGTGCGGTCCGTTTCCAGCAGCCCCGACTCCTCCGGGGCGCGGAGGCGGCCGGTGAGGGACTTCAGGGCGCGACGGAGGCCGGACCCTGGGCCCCCGCCCCCCTCCCCCGCCGACCTGCGGGGCGCCCTTCGAGCCCCCGGGCACCTGCTCCCGGGAGGAGGCGTGTCTGCACCCGCGGGCTGGGCGGGCGCCTCCCCGGGGAGGCCGGGCTGAGGTTCCAGCGCCCTCGCGTGGGGGCCAGGCCTGCTCCGGCCCGCGGCCAACCCCGCAGCGGACCCGGAAGGAACCACAGACTCCGACCTCCTCCCGCATTCCCCGTTTCACAGCTGGGGACGCCGGGGCCCGAGAGGGGCCGGGCCCCGGGCCGCTGCGTCTGGCGCTGGGCTTCCACGGGGACAGTCCCTCTCCTCTTCTATTCGTCCCTGGAATGGGGGAGCGGAGTCCCCAGCTTTGCGCCCTGGGGGCGCGTCTTCCTGTGGACCGAGCGCAGGTGGCTGCTGGCCATCTTTCTGCGGGCTCGAGCCTGCACGGTCGAGGCTGGACGTGGCGGTCGCGGTGGCAGGATAGGGCGTCGGGAGGAGGGGCAGCGTTCCGCGGAGAGGCGGGGACGGCAGCGGGTCCCAGCGCCCAGGGGGAGGTGCGGCTACCTGCAGGGGGTCAAGCGCCAGGCTCTGACTGAACAGCAGGCGCGCGGGCGCTCCCTGAGGACCCACCAGGGCTTCCCTCCCTACAGCTGCTGCGCTGGGGTGGACTTGAGGGGCGTGGGGAAAGCCGGGAGGGAATGGGCGCCCGGGCCCTCTTAGGGCGTGACTACACTTTCGTCTACTCTCTTATCTTCCCCTTTCTTCCTTCCATCATTCCACCCCCACACGTGCTCTTTTCCCTTCCCTCCTCTCTTGTCTCCCTCCATGCCTCCCTCCTTTCCTCCATGCACATTTATTAATCACTTTCTGTGTGCCAGGCCCTGTGCTGTGCACTGCGTGCACAGACGTGGAGGGGGCATTCCCTTGCCAGAGGGGAAATTGGGAGCTGCTGTGCTCCCTGCAATTTCTACCTCCTTCCCGGTATAATCAGTGAGCCTGGACACAGGACCTTCCTTAGGTTTGGGAACTGTGGAGGTGGCTCTGTCCTCGCCTTTCTTGGGTTTGTACTCAATCTCCCAGTGGTGGCAGCGTTTGGATGGTCCTCAGCCAGATCCTCAGCTGTCCACACCCCTGAGGGCTGCTGCTAGCTCAGAAACCAGGGGTCTTTATGTCTCCTTATGACCCTGCGTACCCCGTCTCAGGCCTCAGTTCCCTGGCAGGACAGTGAAATTATGTCTTTTTTCTGGGGAGTTACTTCTGCTGGCATGGTGCCCTATTGTGTCCTAGAAGCCCTAGATGTGAAGAGCAAATCTGTGGGTTTGGACTCCCATGAATCCTCAGCACCCACTCCTCAACACACACACACATACACACACAGTGGCTAGCTAACTGCAGGGTGCTGAAACCCCACCATTAATGTGCGATCCCTCTCGGGCTGTTGGAGTTCTGCTCTCCTGAAGGACAAGGTTCTTGGACACTTGAGGGTGTATGATGGGGGTGAGGACTGGAGAGGCAGACCTCACTTTGCCACGTGACCCTCAATGGGTGGCTGGTTGGCAGGGTGAGGAGGGAGGGAGAGGACTGGCTGCCTTCTCCCAGCTCTGGAGGGGCCCACACTCCCTCTCCTCTGTTGGAGGGGGTGCTGGCCAGGCTGGAGGCAGCGAGTGGCTGGGAAGGCCTCCTGCTGCCTTTGCAGGCCTGGCTCCCCAGAAGGGAGTAGGTGAATCAGAAATAATTGTTTCCTTGCAGATTCTTTGCAATACAAATCACTTATTTGTTCTTTCAGAATTGTTCCCCTGGGGGGATCCACCCTTCCTTACCTATCAAAGGGCACAAAGCGTATTCAGAAGTGAAAAGTGTGGAAAGAAAATAGCAAAACCAAACAAAAGCCTAAAAAATTCACCAACATTAAATGTGACCATGTTTCAACTAATTGCTCCCGAATGTCCTATTCTGTGTTCTGAGGCACTGGGGGGAAGGGGGGTCAACCGTGGCCCACTCTTGGGGAGTCCCATGGAATCTGCTGAGGGAGCCATCCTTTTGTGCACCCAGGCGGTCTGGGAGAGCTTCTTGGAGGAAGACGGATGTCAGAAGCAGAGGTGGGGCTGACGAACTACCTGAGAGAGTGGGAAGCCTGTGCACCCCATCTCCCCACCCTCTCCAAAGCCTGAGACCCTCTGGATTCTGCCTTGCCTTCCCAGTCCAGGTTTAAAGGGGAGGGCCTCAGTCACCTCCTACTCTCTGTTCCCCCATGCTCTTCTTGCACGGATTCCTCTCTGGGGTGGTCTGTTCTGAACTCTCCCCTCCAGGATCCCTAAAACCTGTCCCTAGTGTCTAGCCCCAAGCTCTCATATCCTTTCTGGATCTCAGAATCATGGGTGCCAAGGATGCGGGAGGTGGCGGGAAAGAGAGAAGTGGAGTCACTTGCCATCCCCTGTGACAACCAGCACGGCACGAAGAGAATCTGCAGTGACTCATTATGAGCCTGCCCGGCTTCCTGCCGCCCCCGCCTCCTCCAGCCCCCGAGCCCCTCTCAGAATCCTGCGCTCGCTGCCTTCAAGGTTGCCAGCTCAGGGCTCCACGGTGGTGAGGGTCTCTGGTGGAGTGGAAAGGGGGCTGGGGCCACAGAGGGGCCTTGGCCTGTATGGGGGAGGCCAGGCCAGGACACGGTGGGGAAAACACCGGCCGGGGGAGTCACTGCTCCGGGATTCCCCTGCCAGAGCCCCCCCACATTGCTGTCTGGATGCAGACAGCGTTCGCTTTCGGGGCTTCTGAGTTGAAGGGACCTATACTTTTGGTCTTTATCCAAAAAAAGACCAAAATGGGTCTGGCAGCTCCGAGAATATGAAGCGCTTACCACCTCCCCAGGCCGTGCCTTCTTTTGGGGCCAGTTCTTCCTGTGAGGAGATGCAGCTTAACTCAAGCTGTGGAGGGCAGGAGAGGCCTGGGCAGGTGTTTGAAGGAGAAGTATCCCCTTCATCCCTCCTGTAACAGTGTGCAGTGAATACCATTCATTCACCCCCACGTCTCACCACCTGCACTCGTCTGGGGGCTAGGGTTGTGCCTGGGACTTAGACATGGGTTGCTGCCTGCAGGAAGCCTGGCACTGCCTGGGTGTGGGATTGTGGGGATGTTCTGGTGGGGCCACAGCTGCATCTAGGAAGAAAACCAAGCTCACAGGAGAGCAGGTGCTGGAGGAAGAACTGTCCTGACTTCACGGATTTGGAAATGAAGCCCAGGGACAAGCTCTGAAATGGTCATACCTTGTCCCGGAGGCTGGGGCTTAGAGCTCTGTGTGTGTGTGTCCGGGCCTAACCTTGTCCCGGAGGCTGGGGCTTAGAGCTCTGTGTGTGTCAGTTGGGGGGGGGGTCCTGCCTTGTCCTGGAGGCTGGGGCTTAGAGCTCTGTGTGTGTCGGGGCTGGGGGGGTGGTTGTGCCTTGTCCTGGAGGCTGGGGCTTAGAGCTGTGTGTGTGGGGGAGGGAGGTGTGAACTTTCGAAGTGTCAGCTCAGTCCTCCAGTGAGCAAAGGCTGAGGTGGAGTTAGGGCTGTGAGCGCTTACTGGATGGCAGAGCCTGGGAGAGGCGAAAGAGGAGAGTGTGGGACTGGGCAGAGAGAAGCTCAGACGTGGACGCAGATCTGAAAAGTCTCCGCCAACGTCACGGTGAGTTTCAGGGCAAAGGCTGCACGTAGAAGCCGCAGTAAACCCACTGTGCCTGCTCAACGCCTGGGCTGTGGGGAAGAGCAGTGACAGGCTCAGCCAGAGACCAAAGACCGGAGCCCGAGGCAATGTGGCTAGAGGCTCCACTCACTGCCCTCCTCATGGTGGAGTGGCAAGCTCTTTCTTTCCTTTTCCTTTTCTTTCTCTTTCTTTCTTTTTTCCCTCCCTCCCTCCCTCCATCCCTCCTTCCTTCCTTCCTTTCTTTCTCTTTTTCTTTCTCTTTCTCTTTCCTTTCCTTTCCTTCCCTCCCTCCCTCCTTCCTTCCTTCTTTCCTTCCTTCCTTCCTTTCTTCCTTCCTTTTTTTAGGTGGAGCTTCGCTCATGAGGCCCAGGCTGGAATGCAATAGCATGATCTCAGCTCACCGCAACTTCTGCCTCCCAGGTCCAAGCGATTCTATTGCCTCAGCCTCCCGAGTAGCTGGGATTACAGGCATGAGCCACTACACCCGGCTCATTTTGTATTTTTAGTAGACATGGGTTTCTCCATGTTGGTCAGGCTGGTCTCAAACTCCCGACCTCAAGTGATCTGCCCGCCTCGGCCTCTCAAAGTCCTGGGATTACAGGCCTGAGCCCCTGAGCCCAGCCAAGTGGCAAGCTCTTTCTAGAGGGGGATCCAAGTGATGCCCCTTTACAGCTGCCACAGAGGGAAAACTGAGGCACGGAGAATGAGGGTGTGAGGGCACTCCTGCTCCTGGGATAGAGGAAGAGGAGACCTGAGTCCTAGCCTTGGAGCTCCTGGTCTGGGCACAGTGAGGCAATGCCTGACAACTCCTTCCCGCAAAGCCCAGGGCTCAGTTTGGTCTATGGGGTCAGCAGTCTGTTGCCAGACAGCTTAACAAGGGGGCTGTATTAGTCTATTTCACACCGATGATAAAAACATACCGGATACTGGGTAATTTATAAAGAAAAAGAGGTTTAATGGACTCACAGTTCCAAGCGGCTGGAGAGGCCTCATAGTTATGGCAGAAGGCAGGCAGAAAGGGCTTGTGCAGAGGAAGTCCCATGTATAAAACAATCAGATCTCATGAGACTGACTTACTACCACAAGAACAGTCCGGGGAACTGACCCGCAATTCAGCTGTCTCCCACCAGGTTCCTCCCACAACACATGTGAATTATGGGAGCTACAATTCAAGATGACATTTGGGTAGGGCACTGCCAAACCATCTCAGGGTCACGGTGTTGGGAGTGTGGGAGGCTCGAGAGAGGAGGCTGCTCCACCCTGTTTTCAAAAGCAGCCAAACTTTCTGGTCAAATGCTTGCTGCAGTGTCTACGTGTGTGTGTGTGTGCATGTGTCTTGGTGTGAGAGAGCGTGTGAGTCGGTGTGTGCAAGCGTGTGAAAGTGTGCCCTTGTGAGAGAGCATGTGAGTCGGCGTGTGTAAGCGTGTGAGCGTGTGCCCTTGTGAGAGAGCCCGTGTCGGCGTGTGTAAGCGTGTGAGCGTGTGCCCTTGTGGGAGAGCCCGTGTCGGCGTGTGTAAGCGTGTGAGCGTGTGCCCTTGTGTGAGAGCGTGAGTTCACACAGACACATCTAATCCCAGCCAGAGGTCTGAGAGCAGGGCTTGGCCAGTGTGTGTAGGGAGGAAGCAAGGCTGGGGAAAGTTCAAGGTAGGTAGGGAAGAGAGGGGCTGAGTTCAGGGCACGCCCAGGACCGCAGATGGCAAGTAGGGAAGAGAGGGGCTGAGTTCAGGGCACGTCCAGGACTGCAGATGGCAAGGTAGGGAAGAGAGGGGCTGAGTTCAGGGCACGTCCAGGACTGCAGATGGCAAGGTAGGGAAGAGAGGGGCTGAGTTCAGGGCACGCCCATGACCGCAGATGGCAAGGTAGGGAAGAGAGGGGCTGAGTTCAGGGCACGCCCAGGACCGCAGATGGCAAGTAGGGAAGAGAGGGGCTGAGTTCAGGGCATGCCCAGGACCGCAGATGGCACCGCTCATCTCTCAGAGCTGGTTTCTGAGACAGTGAATTCCTGGTGGGTGGGGCCACTTCTCAGCCCAGGGAGAACTCAGACGACCTCCACAGGGGACCTCGAAGTTCTCACGCTCCCCTCCCCCCCAGTCCTGCGTTCCTCCGCGTAGCTGACCTTGGGCAGAGATTCTGGAAAAGGCGGATAATGTCGGCCAGACAGAACAGACATGGAGTTTAAGTAACATGCTTGATGCCACCAGAGATTAGTGTGTTAAAAATGTCAGGGTATCCACTGGGGAAAAAAGGAAGTCTCTATGTAACTACGAAATAACCCGGAGAAGGAGAAATGAAACTAAGAAAACTCCGCATATCCAATAAAAGATTGTTTGTTTGAGAGGATTAAAAATAAAGATTGTTTGTTTGGGGGAGATTAAAAATAAAGATTGTTCATATTGAGAGAATAAAAAATAAAAATATATGATAAATAGAGGCATCAAATAATGTATCAGAAATAATTACAAACATTAATCATGTAGTCAGTGGGAATGAGTGAGAATCTGCAAAAGGCGGAAGGAGGAGCGTTCGTGTTAGATCTGGAATGCCAAGCGGCTGTGCATCTGACGCTACAGCCTCAAGTGATGTAAAAAAGGGAGGGGCCGTCACATCTAGTCAAAGTGGAAAGACGTTAACAGCCTTCTGTCTGGAGCCCTTGTCAGCTCTCGGAATAAGGACAGGCACATCTCCCTGTAGGTGTGTCTGTAACTAAAAATATGATGTCCAGCCGCTACAGCAAGCTGCAGAATGACGTGTATGGTACATTGCTACTTTTACAGAGTTAACAACACTATCTGCAAACAACACTACGTCAGTTTTATGGATACTAGGCATGCAGTAAAAGTGTAAATCATGTCCTGGAATGATAAACATAAAAGGCGTGTTATTAGTTACCTCTGCAGGGGGCGGGGAATGGAATAAGGAAGGTATATTCTTTTTTTTTTTTTTTTTTTTTTTTTGAGACAGAGTCTTGGCCCAGGCTGGAGCACAGTAGGGCAATCTCAGGTCACACTGCTACCTCCACCTCCCGGGTTCGAGTGATTCTCCTGCCTCAGCCTCCTGCATAGCTGGGATTACAGGCGCGTGCCACCACACCTGTATAATTTTTGTATTTTTAGTAGAGATGGGGTTTCGTCGTGATGTTGGCCAGGCAGGCCTCAAACTCCTACCACAAACACGGCTGCTTGAAACAGCACTCATTATTAGCTCACATTTTCTAGAGTCAGAAGTCCAGATAAGGGTTAGCTGGGTCCTCTGCTTGAAGTCAGAGTGTCAGCCAGGGCTGTGCTTTCATATAAGTTTAGGGTCTTCCTCCAAGTTCATTCAGGTTGTTCAATTTTTTGCAGCTATAAGACTTTTTTTTTTTTTTTGCTGGCCATCGACTTGGGTATCATTCTCAGCTCCTAGAGGCTGACCTCAGGTTCTAGCCTTGTGACCGTCTCTGTAGGCAGTTCACAGCATAGAGGTTCGCTTTCTCTGACAGGCCAGCAAGACAGTGTCTGCTGCAGCTTTGAAGCTGTCTGACTTCTGTCTCTGAGCTCCAGAGCCTCCTTTTAAAGGGCTCACTGATGAAGTCAGGTCCACTCGAATTCACAGGAGGGGGTTATACAGGTGTGTACAGCAGGAGGCAGGAATCTGGGGCACCACCTTAGAATTCTGACCACCATAGGAGGGATACACAGGGGATTCTCAACTGCACTGAATATTTTATTTCTTTTTTTTTTTTTTTTTTTTGAGACAAAGTTTCGCTCTTGTTACCCAGGCTGGAGTGCAATGGCGCAATCTCAGCTCACCGCAACCTCCGTCTCCTGGGTTCAGGCAATTCTCCTGCCTCAGCCTCCTGAGTAGCTGGGATTACAGGCATGCGCCACCATGCCCAGCTAATTTTTTGTATTTTTAGTAGAGACGGGGTTTCACCACGTTGACCAGGATGATCTCGATCTCTTGACCTTGTGATCCACCCGCCTCGGCCTCCCAAAGTGCTGGGATTACAGGCTTGAGCCACCGCGCCCGGCCTTTTATTTCTTTAAAAAATGTCTACAGCAGGCCAGGCATGGTGGCTCATGCCTGTAATCCCAGCACTTTGGGAGGCCAAGGCAGGCAAATCATGAGTTCAGGAGCTGGAGACTATCCTGGTTAACACGGTGAGGCCCCATCTCTACTGAAAATACCAAAAATTAGCCAGGAGTGGTGGCGCGCACATGTAGTCCCAGCTACTAGGGACGCTGAAGCTGGAGAATTGCTTGGACCCGGGAGGTGGAGGTTGCAGTGAGCTGAGATCGCCCTACTGCATTCCAGCCTGGGGGACAGAGCAAGAATCCGTTTCAAAAAAAAAAAGTCTACAGCAAATATGACATTATATTAAGGTCTGATAAAACTGGGTGATGGGTACTTTGGGTTTGATTTTCTTATTCTTTTCTCCTGTATGTTTAGAAATATTTCGCACATACACAATTAATAAATTTTAAAACATCAGAAATCACCCTTCTAAGTAATTATTATGGTAAGGAAGTAAAAATTAGAATTACAAATTATTTAGAAATGAATAACAATGAATATTAAAATAAGAGATATAAACATCCTAGTAATTGGAGGAAAATTTATAGCCTTAATTACATAATTGATAATAAACAACAAAGATAAAATTAGTGAGATAAGTTAACAGCTAAATATACTAGAAAAAAAATTAAATCCAAAGTAAGAAGGAATTAGTAACTATAAAAACAGAAAACAATGAAATCAAAACAAAATGTTGAATTGACTAATAAAATAGACTTTGCTCTTGGCTAGACCAGTAAATAGACAAAGGTTTAGCAAGCCTGATCGTAAATGAAAGTCAAAATTTACAAGAAAAAGAACGTAGCTCCATGAGCAGCGTGCAGTTGAAGGCTGGGAGGGAATCTTCATGCCAATATTTGAATGTCTCGGTGAAATGGGTGCTTTTCTAGAGAAATATAAACTTTTACCCCTAAAAAAAGCCCCCAAGCTCAGATAATTTTATAAGAGAATCCTATAAACCTTTAAGGCACAGATAATTCCTATGTAATCAAACTGCTGGAAAGCAGTGAAGAAGATAAATGTTTTCCAACATATTTTACAAGTTATCGTAACGTTGATATTAAAGCAAAGATATGGTAAGTAAAGAAAACTGTATTTCCATTTTATAATTTCATGGATATCAATAAATGTATAAATCTATGAATTAATTTAGTTCCTATTTAATGTCTAATGTTTAATTCATGTTCATACATAAACAGAGAAGCAAAAATTAAACAACAGGGTCACAACAGGGTTACAAAGTTGTCTTATTTCCTGAGCTGAGACAAGGGGGACAGCCCCCGAGGTCCTGGGGGGAAGGTTTGAGGCAGGCCCGCTGTCAGCTGCTTTGCCTGAGACAGGGCGGTGCTGGCTGCTCCTGGTGAGGTGGGGACCAGGTGTGGGCAGGGGCGGCCTCAGTTGCCAGGTGGGAGTTGAGACTGGAGGAGAGGCCCCTGGCTGGTCACAGGGCGGCTGCCCTCAATAAACCTGTGTTATCCTGAGCCTTGCAGGGCAGGGTGGGAGTATCTATTCAGCTTCCTTTTGATCCATCAGCCGGACCTGGATTCTGACCTGGGCCTTTGCAACGGCCACTGTGTCATCCCCCGATGGAAGGACGGGCTCCAGGACGAGGGCCAAGCTTGTGGCCTGAGGACCAGGCAGAGAGGGCAAGATCTGGGCTAGGGTGGGAAAGCCCAGCTCTGATCCCTCCGCTGTCCCCCATTCCAGTCACGGGTGTCTAGTGAAAAGGTCTCTAGGGACCGTGGGCCCGACTGTGCCCACGGGCAAGCAGCCACGCCCACTAAATGCTTCTCATCTTTATTGCTCGGGTGATTACCAGAGTGCCAGCCCCATGCTCTGCCCTGGGAGTGTGTGTCTACTCTCCGTGGAAAGACAAGGCTATTTTGGGGGTGCCAGGGCCCTCTCAAGAGTGGCACAGTCTCTGATGGCTGCCCACAGTGGCAAGGGGGCTGGTGCCCTGCTACAGGACGGGGGCTGTGGGCTCCAGTCTGGGGTCTGCAGCAGGCAGCCTCAGGGCTCACTGCGGCCAGAAGCCCCCAGTCTCCCTCCTCACCTTTCCCTCATTTGGGTGGAACCTCAGTCCCTTGACTCAGGTTCAGGAAATATGTCTTGTCTTTATTTTCTAGAATTCAGGTTAATTTTGACTTTATACTCTCATTCCACCAGATTGGCAAAAAATAGAACTTCAGTCTTTCTTGGGTTCCTGTGTGGTATGTTCTGGGAAAATGTTAGCGATCTCCTTCCTTCTCACCCTCCACAGCAGCCCAGCCTACAGGGGCCTGGCAAGTCCAGGGGCTGGGGCCTGGTGACCGGGGCCCAGCCTCCTGTGTACCCTGCAGCCCCCTTCCTGAGGTGGGAGCAGGCGAACAGGTGGGGAGCAGGCCGGGAGTCTAGCGCTGCTCAAAGGAGGCAGCTTGGAGGAATCCCGGGAAGTGCCCCCTTCTCCTCCCGGGTCCCAGGCTTGCCACTTGAAAACAAGTGCCTGGACAGGGAGTGTCTTGTGGTCACTTCTGCTTTTCTCCCAGCCTGCACCCTCCTCTGCAGTGAGAGGAATCACTTCCAGGAGAAGACCAGCAAAGACTGCCTCATGCTCTCCTTGCCAAGTTGGGTCCCTAACGCTTTCCCCAGGTCCTCACCTCCGCTCTCTTCCAAGCGGGCCCGGACGACCTCGGGCTGTGGTAGTGCTTGCTCTGTGGAGGGAGGGGAGGCCCCAGCAGCACCCTCTTTTCTCCCTTTGAGGAAACTTGGAGAAGGCAGCGCTCAGCAAGGGAAGCAGGCCCCGAAGCTGGGGAGGGCGGGGTGGTGACCAGGGGAATGAAACTGGAGCTGCCTGGCAACCCAGCTGCAGAGAAAAACCGGCTGGGCAGGACCACCTGCGCAGGGCTGGGAAGGAGGCCAGGAAGATGCTCGCTGAAGACAGAGAGGTGGGAGGAGGAGAGAGCAGGAAGGAGAGATGGGGGAGGAGGGGAGAGGAAGGCAGGGAGGGGGAGGAGGGGTGAGGAAGGCGGGGAGGGGGAGGAGGGGTG